GCTGGCCAAGAAACTTATAAAACAAATACTATTTGTAATAAAAAAGTTTACTTTTTTCCAGCCTGTTTGTTTATATATTGAGGTAGTATGGGATAATGAGAATGACTTGGTAGGGTGAAAGAGCTATGTGAGTTTTGGAATGTTAATTTAGCCAAGATGCCTCAGAACTTCATTAATAAAATGTGGATAAATCAAGTACTATAATTATAGGGTGATTATGATGCAATATATGTAAAGTAGGCACCATAGCAAATTGGCTAACAGCAAGGACTTTGGAGACAGACTACATCCTATGAAGGTATGAATCTTGTCAGTATCTTTGGCCATTATATTCCTAGGGTTTAGAGTGATTCTTAGCACATAGTATGTGCCCAGTAAACCTCTGTTGAATAAATAGAATCAAAGAATTCTGGCTGTGTCTCATCTTGGTTATATGACTCTTGGCAAGTAGTTACTTCTATAAGCCTCAGTTTCATAAGGTGAGGATTAAATGAATAGAATGTGAGTGCTTAACATATTAGTTATAGCTAAAGTAATCTGAACACAGCCAAAAAAGGTACAGTCTCAGTGTATAATAACTCATTTGAAGATATTCTCATTTATAATTCATATATTGCCTATTTTAAAAGATAATATTAATGAAGATGATGGTATAAGTAAAAAAAATTGGTTTTACAGAATATCATACATTTAAAAGTCTTGAAAATTACAAAACATGAGACATTATTATTTCAAGGCATGTTTGGAAGAGTACATTCATTAAAAATTTAAAATACGTTGTTTAAAAGTACTTTCTTATATGTTCAGTTTTCCCATTAAATATCATTATAAATAACAAAGGAAATTTGCTTTTATCATTCATCAAAGGAGGCCATTTCAAAAGAGTGGGAAACAGAATTGGCCCATTAGTTCACCAGTGCTGTTGAGAACAGAAACAGCCCTCATCTTTTAAATGCAAAACTGCTAAAGAACTGAGCCATTTCAATTATTTTGCAATATTGAATAAATCAATAAATTTTTAAAAATATTATTTGACAAAAGATAAATAAATGGAATTACTTGCTGCTTTAATTCAAAACCGATGTTTATATATATATATATAAATTAAAAAAATATATATATTTAAAACCTTTAAAATATATATACACATAGCCAGGCGTGTTGACTTATGCGTATAATCCTAGTACTTTGGAAGGCTGAGCCGGGAAGAATGCTTGAGCCCAGAAGTTCAAGACAAACCTGGGAAACAGAGTGAGATTTCATATCTACAAATAAATAAATAAATAAATAAAACAAATTAGCCATGTGTGGTGGCAGTTACTTGGGAGGTTGAGGCACACAGATGGCTTGAACCCAGGAAGTAGAGGTGGTGGCGAGCAGTGATCACGCAATTGCACTCTAGCCTGGATAATGGAATGAGACTCTGACTCAAAATACTAACTAACCAACTAACTAACTAACCAAATAAAGTTAATGTTTCAGTGTAGAGGTCACCTCTATTTAGAAATAAATATAATATATATATATATATATATTTTTAAATTTTATACACAGAACCAAAGGGTCCTTTTCCTTTATTTCACTTGTTTTCTGTTTATTATGATCTTCATTTCACAGAAGACAAAATTCAGTAAAGTTCAATGGGGTGGGTGGTGCCACCTGTCAAGAGAGACTTCCGTTACTCTAAGGAAGTTTTCACTAAGTCAATGCTTCTTCCCTCACAAATCTCTCTAACTTTTTTCTTTTGCTTTTCCCTCTGGCTTACTTTCCTCTTACATTCCCCTTCCTTATCTTTTATTCAAAAATTCACTTATTTTATTTTAATTGATAAATAAAAATTGTATGTATTGTATTCTTGAAACTGAAAATATAGTCAATTTTAACTGTTCTCACCACAAAGAAAAAAATTACAAGTTTGTGAGGGAATGCATGTGCTAATTAGTTCAGTTCAGCCATTCCATAACGTGTACATACTTTTACATTCCCTATGTATTGTGCTTTCTGATACTTGATTTTGCTTCAGGAAGGTCCTTATTGCCCAGTCACGGTCTCTCCTGTGTCACTGTCTCCTACTCTACACGATCTGCTTCCAAGGTCCTTTCATAGTACAGAGTTTATTCACGTAAGGACTTATGACAGCCATAGCAAAGCTATTCACAGATCAATGATACTGGGTGGAAACATTGATTTTGTCAAATGTAGTTAGAAAAGGAAGGGGCATTTTGGGGCAAAGAGTGAAGGTAGACAGGAGAAAATTAGCAAAAACAGGAAAAAGTAAAACACGGTGAACCATAGGCAGAGAGAAAGAAAAGCACAGCATTGGTGAAGGTGGTATGGGCATGAGGGACCGGACAAAAAAGACAATGACCCACTCCCTACTCTGTGACAGGTGAGCTCATCACACTGAGTCTTGAGATCCAAAGGTAACCTTTTTGGAGAGTGGAAAGATGAGGTACAAACTGGTCCAGGATGAAGGGCGAACTGGGGATGCATCCATTGTGTGGAGGAACATTAAGCAATGCATTCTCACGTTGCCTTTGTTCCTGCCTCCCATGTCCATCACCTTCCTGACACAGTCACTTCAACCCTGACTCCAGGCTCCTTTGTCTTTGTTAACCTCTGGATAAATCTCCTTCAGCATTAGCTCTCTCGCCACAAATGAAATTGTCTCCTCTATTTTGCTTTAATTTTCCACTTCAATCTATCTCTGCTCCTAATACTGTTCATTGATCCTTCCCTCCAGCATCAGAGAGATTAAAAAAAAAAAAAACCCAACAAACATACCAAAAAAAGAAAAAAACCCTAAAAATGTCAATCTTTTCCTTGCCTTTAAAAAGCACTAATGACCTAGCACAGCAAAATCTAAGCAGTTGTTTCTTAGGATTTACCAACTAATACATACTTTTTTAGTAGGGTCAGGGAGTTTCTTCACCATCCCTAACACAACAAGAGACTGAGTCTTTGCAAGAACCATTCTTGTACCTGGAATGTTCTATCTACACATTGTTAACTTTTCAAGTCTATGCTATCTCATGTTACCTATGATGCTTCTCTCACATCTTAAGTCTATTCTAAGGTTAACCTTTTCTGAATAGTATCACAACATTCAGAAATTGTTTACAAAGTATTTACAATTGTGTCTCCCTTCCTCAATCTCACAACAAGTTTGAGATCAGGGACAAAAATCTTAAAGATTTTTGAATGTTGACACTGGGTGACTGATGAGTAATAGAAACATTTTGCTAGATACTCTCAAGCCAGGCAGAGTCTCATCATTTACTACATACCCAGAGTACAACTTTTGTCTTCCAAAGTCCCTATTCCTCACAACTCCCAAATCTGACACAGTTAAAAGAGGAAAGTTTATTTTACAATAACAAAAACAAAGATTTGTATTACTGCATTACTGGAAACATTGTAAGGAAACAGTTTTTTTAGTCAACTTGTATGCAGGTTTCCTTTTATTAATTTCATATAAACTTACTCCCCCTGTATTATATCATACAATGTGTATATCATCAGTTTCCTTATTCTGAACATCAATTGTTCTGAATGTCAATTTGTGATCCCACATCTAGGACTTGTATTTTGACTTCTTAACTGCAAATGTCATGCTATCCTTATCAATATGAAAATTCTGTTTCTAGATATAAATACTATTGAGTATTTTTTAGTTGGTCACATTTTAGAAAATTCGATCTTTCTCTTTTCCAATTAATTGATGAGAGATGCCTCCGGGCCATTGATTGTAGCAATAAGAAATAATGCCAGGAGATTCTTATTCTTTTTTTAAACTTGGAATATTCACTGAAAGGTGAATGTTGGTGATTCATTTTCTGCAAAACACTGCATTTCTCATCCATGTTGGAGTCAAGTAGAGCACCAAGTAATTACCTGCTTATGGAATCCCTTGACCACATGTATCAAAGTTTCCAACTTCACGTGAGAATTAAATACTGGTATGTGGTCACATTTCAATTTCACAACTGAATTCTGCCTATGGAGATCCAAGTCATAAATCACTCCAGGTTGGGAGAAGAAATTCAGTTTGAATATATTGCTTAAATAATCAGAGTTTACATATTTTATCTATGTCAACACTAAAAACTTCAGTTTTTATTATTTTTTATCTTTGAGGCTTATACAACTTTGAAAGGATAAGGGTTGTTTGTAATATTTTCAGTTTTCATTTTTTTCTAGTGAACATTTTGGTTGTCTTATGTACATCAACAATTTAATTTTGTGTGAACATCTTTAACTTTGGAACTCCTTAAAAAAAGTTGTTCTACTTCTAGAAGATAAAGAGAAGGAAAGTTGGACGTTATTGTTAATAAGATATATTAAAAAACCTCATAGTTTGGAAAAAATGTCCTAAAAGAAAGACAAGATTAGTTTGAGTATTACCAAGAAGTTCAGGAATTCACATTTCAGTTTCCTTGGCAAGTCTTAAAAATGGTGAGCAATTAATAGAAAAGAATTTAGTAAAGGGCGGTACAATGGACTATACAAAAATCATTTTATTGATAACTGACCTCAGGGTCAAATGCTTAAAACGTTTTCTTTTGTAACTAGCAAATATTTTGCTTAAGCAGCTGTATCCTATTAAACTCCTGAACATGATGATGGTGGATATTTCTTGCTTAGGCAAAAGGAAAAAAATAATAATTTGAACTATATGGGCATCCTTGGAGGAGTAAAGATTTCTGCATGATATCTAGACTATTTCTAATTCAATAAGAAAATCAATGGAGATTTAGTTTCTTTGGTTATGACTGCAACAGATTTTTAGGTACAATGATCTAATTCATCCTTTGATTTATAGCTGTCTTTTAGGATCCTTAACTGTGTTAAGGCCTTAGCTTCTTATTCTTTCTCAAAGAAGAAAACTATTACCAGAAACAATAAAATCCCATGTTTTCTTTTGACTACATCTCCACAGGCTACATTTATATCCTGTTATGATCTTTATGGCAATGTTCAAAGAAATGTGTGAAACTTACTCAATGAAGTAGACTTCACCCTTCTCTGTATAGGCCATTTCCCAGTTATCAGGCAATGGGTCTGATTCCTCATTGTCCTCAGGTTTAGTAGGCTTTGTATCATCCATCTGCTCCTTCAGCTCCTCAGGCTGACTGTACACTGGTGCAGGATAAGGCTGGGAGGGTGTCTCCTCTGAGGCACCTGCACTCTTGTCTTCAGGTTCACTGGATTCTATAAGGGAACAAGAGCACATGGATAGTCACTCTAGCCACAGTAATGAATGTGGAATATGCTACACCAGTGAATAAGCTCTGTGAAGGCTAACAGGAAGTAATTTTGAAGAAGCGTAATTGCAAACAGCTCTGAAAATTATCAATAGGCCTATTTGAGCTTTCCTTTCACTCATCATTCTTGTCTATCCTTTAATTATTGTTGCTTTCTGAATTTGAGGTTAGAGGAATGAAACATAAGGACCATTTCACAATATAGATGTGGTAAGCTGAATGATGGAACCCTAAAGATATTCATTGTACTAATGCCGGGGACATGTGAATGTTATCTTGCACTACAAATGAGGATTTGCAGATGTGAATAAGTTAAGGACCTTAAGATCATGGAATTAACTTCCACTATCCAGGTGGGCTCACCTGGATGAATAGGATTAAGTGTAATCACTAGGGTCCTTAAAAGAAAGGAACACAGCCCTACCCACGCCTTAATTTTAGCCCTGTAAGACCACATGTTATAAACTACAGAACTATTAGATAATACATTTGTATTGTATAAGTCACTAAATTTATGGTAATTTGTTACAGCAATAGAAAACTAATATAGTAGTTTCTGCTCATCCGCAGTTTTGCTTCCATGGTTTCAGTTACTCATGGTCCAAAATTAGATGATTACAGTATAATAAGCTATTTTGAGAGAGAGAGAGAATGTCCACATTCATACAACTTTTATTATAGTACATTGTTATAATGGTTCTATTTTATTATTTGCTATTGTTGTTAGTCTCTTACTGTATCTGATTTATAAACTAAACTTTATCATATGTATATATAGGAAAAAACACAGTATATACAAGGTACTATCTGTGGTTTCAGTCATCCACTGGAGTCTTGAAGTGTATCCCCTGTGGTAAGAGGAGACTACTGTAAAACAGAGCAAAACTACCTTAGGAGAAATGACAGTAGGTATGGAAGATAAACTCAAGAGCCCCAACATACAAATAGTATGAGCTCCAGAATGAGAAAAAGGAACACATGAGGATAAATAGTAAGTCAATAAATAATAGAAGAAAATTTACCTAAGATGAAGAAACATTGGAGTCTGCAGACTGAAATGGTTCATTGAATCTGAGGCCAGATTAATAAAATATACAGACCCAGATTATATCTGGGTCTTTCCAAAAGACAATGTTAAAAAGCAGTTTAGCGGTTTCTGCACTGAACATACATGATTACTTATGAAGAAAAGAGGAACAGAAGATCATCAGACCTTTCATCTGGAATACTCTAAGCTGAAAGACAGAGGTAACATTTGTAGTAACTTGAAAGAAAAGAAAAAGGACAGCACCCAAGAACTTGACATTGACAAGATTTTATTTGTCTATCTGGATGAAGAAAAGTCACTTTTAAACATGCAAAAGTTCTGAATGTATACTACTCAAATATCTTATGAGGACATTTGAAAAATTACTCTAATTGCCATGACTGAATCAAGTGGAGATCTCAAAATAGGGAGAGAAAACAAAAGTTGAGAAGAAATAAATTGTGCTTAATACAGTTACATGTAAATAGAAGACTATCACATTTCTGAAAATTTGTAATATGTGCTGGAACAGATGCTTAAAAGAGAAGAAAAATATAAGGAACACCTAATAATGGCATGAGTTTTAAACCTTTATCTTAAGAAAGCTCAGGTTCTAGAGGATCGAGAAAAGGTAGGGAAATAAAGATATTCTAAAGATCTCATTAGAAGGCACATCAGAGAGTGAGTACATGAGATAACTTAAAGGCCACCTTTTCATGGAATGGGATTATTGGACAAATATTTTGGTCAAAATATATGCTTAATTATATGTAGTTATGTAAGTAACTAATTATAAGTAAGCAATGGATTAGATCTATATCTACTGACCTGGAAACATGTTTATAATTATCATTTAAAGAGTAATCCAAGTTGCAAAGTAATGTATATTATTCATCCTGTTTTTCTAACTAAGCAAACACCAAGTCATTTTAGTTATATGTATATAATTTTCTATATACCTGTATGAGCATGAAAATAGTCTGCAAGAATGTACAACAGAATGTCAATTTTGATTGCCTCAGGACAGTAATTTGAATGGGAATAGAAGTTTTTTTGTATCTATCTTTGCATTCATTGCCTATCTATAATTTTTATGACTTCAAAACTAATGAAGATTTAAATGAGTAAATTAAAACGGAATACCATCTTTGTCTCAGTATCAATTGCTTGGATCAGTTTCCCCCCATCTGTATAAATCTAGGAGAGCAATGTTATTTATTAGATATCAGAAAACATAAGAACACTTTATAATCTTTCACTGTTCCGTTCTTTAAAAAATTATGACAATAATATGGCCATTAGTGATGCAGTCTCCTAGTTGATCCTTATACAGATTTGACCTTCGTAAACTATGTGGAAAAAAACAGCAAGGTACCATTGCACTCTTTAGATTCTCTTTGCTGTACCTTATTATAACAGTTAATTACCAATATACTGGTATGTACATGGAACACACCAAATGTTATGTTGCATTGAAAAGTTGAAACACAAGGTCATGCTTTGAACATATCCACTTATTCAATATTCACTTAATCAATATTTATTAAGCACTCAATTGGTGCCAGGCACTGAGGACAGAAGAGTGAATGACAGACATTGATCTTTGCTCTTATAGAACTCAATATATGTCAAGATGTGTAGTCTTTATACAAATACTTTTAAGTGTGATGTGTGTTACCAAAGAGAAAGTTGGGATTCTATGTGCATGCATTCATCTAGCCTCATAAAAAGAGTCAAGAAAAACTTCTTTTTCAACATGCTATAAAATCTGAGACTTCTTTCAGACGCAGGTAAGGAAGAAATAAAATAAAAAAAGGTTGAGGAATGCTCGGGATTTTGGGCTGTGTCCTGAGAGCAATGAAAAAGTATTGACAAGCCCTACTTATGAATTACAAAGTGAGATTTTCCACAAAGATTTCCTTAACTATTCTGAGGATTTGATGGTGGCAAGGATAGATGTTTATGGAGCAGTGGGAAGTTATTTTTGTTCTCCAAACAAGAGATGGCAGTGATACAGGGATGAAAAGAAGTGGAGTGAAAAAAATATTTTGAGGGTAGATTTTGCATGTTAAAAAACAAACCCAAAAACTGGACAGATACGGAAAAAGAAAACAGTAAACCCAACAAAGCTATTCAGTGAGATAGGAAACACAGGAAGAAAATAGGACTCTGCAGGCAGAAGGCAGGCTATGGGTATAGCTTAGGGCACACTGAGTTAGAGGTCATGACAAACTTACAGTGGAGATGTCAAGATAGATAATTATTGTCTGGAGAAAATCGACTTGAAAGACAATAGCATATGGCTAGATTGCATTATAATTTTAGCCGTGGGGAAATGAAATTGCCATGAGATACAGTATGAGAAGTGTAAACAAGAATCTGGAGAGTAGTTTTATGAGGAACTCCAACATTTAACAGTCGCTGAAACACTGGAATGGCAAAAGATGATGAGGAAAGAAACAATAGGAAAACTTGTAGACTTCCATATTGCAGAAGCCAAGCAAAGGGTGTTGGGGAGACACTTAACCATGACCAAAGCTTCTATACAATTCAACAAGAAAAAGACACAAACTCAATTAAATTCATGACATAGAGGTCTCTGGTGACATAGTTGCCAGTAATTGTAGAATTTATGGTGGAGTGATAGGTGTCAAAACCAGACTAGACTAGGTTAAAGAATAAACAAGAGAAAATATGAATATCCTGATTGAGATTTCACTCAAGAAGCTTAGTTATGAACAAATAAGCTTTTCCCCTACTATATAATACTATTACATTCTTAAGAGAAATGTAAGACATTTCTTGAAAAACAAATAGATGAAGTTTTTGGAGAAGTTTATGATCATATTTCATGATATGTCAGAGGTTATTGAGCAAATTTGTCCTAGTTTTTCTAATTCACTTATTTATTTATTTATTTATTCTTAATTGATCATCCATTATATTAGCAAACATGAGTTTAATACCTATAGTATATAGAATACTTGACAAGAGTTTAATGGAGGAGAGAAAAAGAAACTTCATCAGGCTATTGGGAATTGGGTTGAGAGGTAAGCAATAAGTAGCATCTCCTGACTTCATCTGAACAAAATAAGACAAAAAATGAGTAAAGCAAATACATAATCATAACATTCCCATATTGACTATTCCTAAAGGTTAATCTATGGATGTAGCTGATACTGAAAGTCAAGGGCTTCTGGTGAAACCCAGAGGACCAATTTGTCCATTGGCAGAGCTGAACCAGAGCAGGCCTTCCATGCAGAGGTAGAATCTGTTCTCAGAAGAACAAAGTAGAACATTAAAGGAAGAAAAGGAGGAACTGAGACAAGCAGGCCTGGATTAGTCTTCCAAGTTTTTTCACTCAGATAAGTCACTCCACCTATTCTGGGCATAGTGAGTCAAGATGCCAGAGAAATGCAAATTTTGTATCATCCTAGACATACAAGGCAAAATGGAGGGTTGGGAAGAAGTGCCTCACTGATCCCTAGGTTACTTTATAGAGTACTATAGTAATGATATGTTAAATGATACCCAATGACACAAAATAATTGTATAAAATCTTCTAGGGAGGCAGGGCAGCAACTAGAAATGAAAGTACCCAAGGCAGCTGTCTGAGGAACTCCAACATTTAACAGTCAATGAGAGAAGAAACTGACCTTATACTTTCTATATTACTAGGAAATTGCATTAATTAGTTAATTAATTAATTTGATGAACATTTATTGAAAGTGTCCTGAATATCAGGTACTAAGTCAGGCTGTATACAGTCAAGGAGAATAGGGTCCAAATGTATGTAATAGTTTGCTAAGGTTATCATAACAAAATAAATATCTGTGACTTAAACAACAGATATTTATTGCCTTATAGTTCTGGAGGCTAAAAGTCCTACATCAAGGTGTTAGAAGAGCCAGCTCCCTCCG